GTTCCTCGGGGAGGAGTTGCCATCTGGGTTCCTAGATATTTAACTTCTCGTATCGCTTGTAGGCTCTTGACTGACAATAGCCAATTGTTGGGTTTCTGGATCGAAAATTTTTGTTTGTTCTCGTTTTATGCTCCTCCGGTTTCCCTTTCTGATAATCGAGGCGATGCTCAGATGGAGTTGCGCGAATTGTTTTTGGAAGCTTTTGAGGCCCACGGGTCCTTCAATGATTCGGTTTGGGTCTCGGTTGGGGATGCTAATGAACCCCCTCGCAGTTCTCTTATTGGGGAGACCCACAAATCAAAGCTTTTGGGGGGGTCTTGCGTTCGCAAGGATGTAGCACTCCTTGGCCCTTGGCGCTCGGATAGGGGAATTGACTGGTTTGCTACTAACCAGACTTCGGGGCTTTCTGGTCTGACCATTGACCATTTCGGATGTTTATGTTTCGGATCATAAGCTGATTTTGGCTGACTTTCAAGTTCCTAGGCGTGATCTTTATCTGGGGACCCTGCAGCACACTCCGGATTGGCAAAAACCTGCTGGTATCAGTTCGCTCGATTGGACTCAGTTGTTGGATCAGACATGGGAAGATCACCGACCGGATGAGGCTATTTTTGATCTTCCTGTTCAAGAGGCTTGGGACTGGTTCAACTGTGCGGTTGACAACACTTTCCGCGCCTCTTTCCGTCGATTTGCTCATTCCCTGGCGGACGATCGATCCAAACATTTTTGCCCCGCAAATGCAATATGCTTCATAAGAAAGGTATTCTTGGAAAATGGACCAAACGGTCGGTGGTGACGAAAGGGCCTCCTGAAACTTTTGGGTGGTTTAGAACGCTTAAGTTTCGTCGACGGCTGGACCGGCTCTGCGAGTTCAAAAAGGTGGCTTTGCGGCTCATTCGAGCTCCTGATCCACATATGCTTGCTGTCCAAAACAGCTTGGTTGAGAAATTGGCTCGTCGCTTTCCGGAACTTCGTCAGAAATCTGATGACTTGGCGTGTTTGGTTCAATACGTGCATCAGCTCATCCAGAGTGATGGTGATATTTTCGAAATGGACACGCGATCCCAAAAAATTGCTAGATGGAAAACTTGGATTGACGAGGACCCCAGGGCTATTGGACGATGGTTGCGAAATCGGACTAACTCAGGTGAGTCGGTTGCGGTTGAGTCCGCTCACGGGAATGCTTGCACGTCTGATGACTTGTGTCCAAGGTTCTCAAGTATGACTGTGGGGCATACTAGTACTTTGGCCAAGGTTCTCATGTATGACCTTTACTTGTAGAGCCAGACAAGGTGAGCGACCAGGAGGAGGAGAAGTCAGAACCAGAGAAGGATGCAGAAGAGCAGGCGGAGATGGAAAACAAGACAGAAGAGGAGGAGAAAGAAGAGCGCAATGAGGAGGGCCAGACAGAAGCAGAGAAGACGGCGAAGCATGTGGAGGCAGAGCTTACAGAACCAGAAGAGGGCCAGGGAGATGAGGGCAAGGGTTCATCCAAAGATGAACCCTCCTCAGAATCATCGATGTCGCCCATGCTCAAAAGGCAGGATGGGTCAACATTTGTACATTCATGATTCATTGTGTTTTGTGATTGTACTCCGGTGGAGTTGTATGTGAGGTTTGCAGTTAAAAATAGACCCACTCTGTCAAAAACTGTGTTGTTTGGAGTTGTACTTAAGGAAGACTTGATTTGATGAAAGCGTTGTGTCTTGAGCTGCAGTTGAGATGTCCATGTATGTAATCACTGTTGTTCCTGTCAGGTTTGCGAAGAAGACGAAGCTCCTCAGCAAAATCTACAGGGATAGCTGACCCATCTCTGTGAGTATGAAAAGTTCAGGGGTGATAGATAGGTTTTGGGTGCTCTTCCCACTGTCAGCTTTGAACAGAGCTCTCAGCTGGATAACAGTCTTGGGTTGTGAGGGCCTCAAATTGTACTTGTGTATTTAGTGAACTTGTGCTTGAGGAGTTGTACCTGAGCCTACTTCAGTCGTGCTTGTTAACCTTTGACTTGTTCTTGTACTTGAGGATTTTTGGTTTCTAGTGAATCTTTGATGAATTGTTGATGAACTTTTGACGAATGTTGATGAACTGTTGATCTTTTGATGAATATGATGAACATTTGATGAACTTTTGATGAATTTTTGATGAACTTTTTTGATGAACTTTTAAAGTTCATCAAACTGATGAACTTTTGATGAACTTTTAAACTGTGAGTGATGAACTTTTGATGTAAAGTTCATCAAAAAGTTCAGCAAAAGTTCAAAATTTCATCAAAAATTCAGCAAAATATGTATAAACATCAAGAACAACAACATGTGGATCAACTCTTGGGGGCCAGTCTAGGTTTGGAAGGATTTCTCACATTGTACTTGTGTGATAGGTTAACTTGTAGGAGCTGTACTTGAGATAAGGTTAACTTCAGCCTTACTTGTGACTTGTTCTTGCACACGAGGTACCTGTGCTTTACCTGTGACAAGTGATGCGCTCGAGTTTGTCCATGTCTTGGTACCTGTGCCTTGTGATTGTACATGTGATGCCACTTGAAGAGACTCAGGTATAGGTTTAGGAAGCTTTGCTTCATGACAGCTGCTTTGTGGTTCACAAGTGCGTGGACTCATAGTGTGTTTGGCCTCATGAGCCAGTCCAATGCGCGTGAAGAGATTGGTGAGACTGAAGATCTCTTGGCTGCTTCTCAGGAGGGAGATCTGCCTAAGACACCATCGAAGGCCTTGAAAAGGCCAGCCACAGCAAAGCCAAAAGCGCAAGGAAATGCTAAAGGAAAGCCTACGATCAAGGCTTCAAGCAAGGGTAAGAACAAGAAGGTAAGGGATGGTGACAAACCAACCTTGAAGCGACCAGCTGCTGCAGCAAAAAAGAAAGGGCAGGGCCCTAGTTCCAAGGGGGGAAGGTCTTGGGCAAAGGCGCTGGACAAGGAGGAAGAGCCAAGTGAGGAGCAACCTGAGGAAGAAGAGCTGGAGCGTGACCCAGAAGAGACCGACTTTGCCATGGACCAGGGTGAGGAATGTGAAGTCAACAAGAAGGACAAGAGCAAGGACGCCAAGTTCAAAAAGTTACTTGCGCAACGCCAACTTCCAAGTAAAGGTGCTGCTGTTCTCAAGTAAGAGAGGGTTGGCTCAAGTAAAGTCAGTGGTGAATCTCACGTAAAACAAGTGCGGTCTCAAGTATGGTGATGTTCTGTTTGGATGAGCCTACAATGATCACTGATTTTATTTTGAAAGCCATAGTTTTTACAAAGCCACTGCGCAAAAGACATGAAATCATAGTGAAAAAATTACTAAGTGACCTAAATTAATTTAGTAAATGACCTAAATTCATTTACATTTTACCTAAATTGAACTACTTTACAATTTACGTATACTTTTAAGGTAAGCTTGCCTTAAAGTAAATCAAAAAATTTACCTAAATTTTGTCCAGTGCAAATTTAGGTAATCAGCAGGCTTAGGGGAGCTATTGGCGTTGACCATGGTGACCATCAAACAAGCTGCGCAGGAGGATCCTTTTCCAGGACTCTTCCAAGCTTGACCTGCTTCTGCAAATCCAAGACTGAGGGCATTTGCTCCCCGCCGGAGTGGTGTGGGCAACTGTAGCTCTGGCCTATATGTGAAGGAGGTCGATCTCATCAACTCTCGCCGACAAGAGGACTAGGTTCCGCCTGGGAAGGGTGAGGAAGAGCTTTGGAAGAAGAAACAGCCCAGACATGGCAAAAAAAGGCAAAAGGAGGCGACGTTCAGCAGTGAGGAGAAGGAGGAGGCTTTTGAGGCCATCTGACATCGATACCCAAGACCATAAATTTTTCCCCAAACAGTCTGGGCACACTGAGGGGTTCTTACGGTAGGAGAAAAGAAGGTGTGCTTAAATCGTTGAGGCGCGCGGCCGTGAACGGCTAGTTCGTTGCTTTTTACAGTAGATTCATGCCTCTTGACATCGTCCATGTGCACTTCGCCTGGCAGCCTCGCAGTATCTGAGGGCCCGCGGCGGGTGCTTTTAGCGACTGCGCTCTCGTTGTGGCGCCGTGCGCATTTTCGCACATGGTGGTCACTTTTCGTGGCAGGCGCAGGAGAAACCTCGTGCTTTGGTGCTCCAAAGCCGACTTTTCGTGACAGGTGCAAGCGATCGTAGGTTGTTTGCTTCGAGGCGCAGCACTTTGGACATGGTGGTGATCGTCGAGGAGCTCAGATTTCGTGACGGGTGCAGTGAATCGTGACTTTTGGACATGTGGCTCCAGATGTCGTGGCCGGACTCTTTGATCCTCGATTGGCAGACTTGGTAGCAGGTGCAGCACTTTGTGAACCTCGAAGTGCCGATTTCGTGGCAGGTGCAGGACTTTTTCAACCTCGAAGTGCAGATTTCGTGGCAGGCGCAGCACTTGGTGAACCTCGAAGTGCCGATTTCGTGGCAGGCGCAGCACTTTTTGAACCTCGAAGTGCAAATTTCGTGGCAGGCGAAGCACTTGGTGAACCTCAAAGTGCAGATTTCGTGACAGGCACAGCACTTGTGGAGCTTGAAGTGCAGGCTGATTTCGTGGCAGGCGCAGCACATGCAAGTGCAGATTTCGTGGCAGGCGCAGCACTCTGTGAACCTCCATGTGCAGATTTCGTGACAGGTACAGCACTTGGTGGACCTCGAAGTGCAGATTACGTGGCAGGCGCAGCGCTTGCTGAACCACAAAGTGCAAATTTCGTGGCAAGTGAAGCACTTGTCGGACTTTGGAGTGCAGATTTCGTGACAAGTGCAGCACTTTGTTGTGAACCTCGAAATGCAGATGTCGTGGCAGGTCCAGCACTTTGTGAACCCCGAGGGGCAGATATCGTGGCAGGTGCAGCGTTTGGCAAACCTCGAAGTGCAGATTTCGTGGCAGGCACAGCACTTTGCGAACCTCGAAACGAGATGTCGTGGCAGGCACAGCGCCTGGCGAACTTCGAAGTGCAGATTTCGTGGCAGGCGGTGTACTTTGTGCTCTCAGATGCTCACTGTCTCACTCTCCCACTTTCACTCACACTCACACTCCCTCACACTGCTACTCTCACTCTCACTCACGCTCGCTTTCACACTCACTCGTCCACCCCCTGGAAAAGAATTGCGTCCGAAGGTAGTTCCTTCTAACTCATGATTTCAGCACCTGCGCAGTAGAGTTTAGGTGCACTGTCCACTGCCTCAAAAACCCTGCAAACAGTGAGTTCGGCAGATGAACCTGGCCATGCAGCACAGTCCTTCCTCCCTCACAGAAAGTGTCACGAGATCCGTGCGGATATCGTATTGCCATTCTGCGCTGTTGATGTGCCAGCTCTGCTCGCGGTTCACTCCACACCTAATGTTTGTGTGTGGCGCAACACCCTCCTGGCACCGCTACTAGGAACAAGGACTCCTGGCATCGCCACTAGGAACAAGAACGCTACTAGGGGCTCCTGGCATCGCTACTAAGATGAAGAACGCTACTAGGGGTCAGGAGGGAACAGCCGAACATAAACATTAGTTTGATCAGGCATTTGGACATGGGGCCCCAACATGTTCAAAAATGTATGCGCAAAATCGCTCAGCCCTGCAAAGATGAACGGTTTTTTTGGGGCCAGCACCGCATATAAACTGTTGCAACATACGCCGCGTAGAGCAAGGACCACCAACAGTGAGCAAGTGTGCAGTGCGCTACACATGCGGTGCTCACAAGATGAACTGCGCGTATCACTCACTGTGTATGCAGGGAAAATGCGGCAGGTGCCAGTTTTGGAACACGCCTCCTCAACAATGGCTCACCAACGCGATCGCGCAAAACCCCTCCTGGATGGAAGCCGCCTAGACTTCGTCGTGTAGTGCGCCACGCGCCACGGCGAAACTGCGTGCGAGCCTCCCGCAGCCTGGAGCGTCCTGCTACAAGGGGCGTGCTCTCCATTCCGCTTGCAGCCACGAGAAGGACCGGTTCCCAGGACTCAAGCGCATCATTGTCGCAGTTGCGACCGGTGGGCGCTGGAGGAGGTTGGCAGCGGTGGTAGTGAGCGTGCGATAAACTATTTTTTTGGACCAGCAATCACGTCCTTGCAGGGGTGATGTTGCCGGCGCATGCGCTTCCCTCCAAGCATCCTTCAACCGTTGAGTAGTCGGCAGGAGCGCTCATCCTCCATCATGCTTTTGCTGGGCCTGTTAGCCAGCACCACATATAGGCAGCTGGAACCCGCAATGCTTGCGTCAGCAATCTGTGCATCTAGCCCGCCGCCGCAAGCAGCCCGCGCATTGTGTTACCACAGTGCCTGGCACAAACCTGGATAAGGTGGTGTTTTGGTCGTGTTTCTCTGGTTCTGCTGGATGACGGGATGTGACGGGCGATGCACGACAGGGAAGTTATAGCCACCACTGCTGAGTTGAACGCTTCCCGAGCGTCCTTTGTGCATTCCTGACCTGACACAAGTTACTTCTGCGTTACCCGAACTCCACGAACCGCAGCCGGCCCACAGGACAGTACCCATGACCATGTCGACCCCTATGCTCCGGACGGTGCTCCAAGTTGGTCCATGTTCAACTTGCGGAGTGCTCCTTCCAAAATTATTGATGCGGCATCCTGCCACTGCCACATGGGATGTCAAGTGCCCACATTCAGGGGTCCATGCGCGCTGTCAAGAAAAATTGCAGGTTCCGAACTGCAGGCGATCAACATTTGTGTAGGAGCACTCTTTCGCGTTGGGACAACGTCCTTGAAAACATATCTGTTTCTGGAAGGTGGGCGGGGCAAACACCTCCAACATCCATCGTGAAAAGGTTGCGCAGCAATGGAGGCCATCGCTATTAAGTTGGAAGCCATCGCTCTTAGGTTGGGGGTGCTAGTAGGTTGGAGATGGTTGGAGGCTTCTTCGTCCTATCACCTCCACAGATGATGTCACAATGACGCTGGTCAGTGACGAGTCACTTTCAGCGGGGGCAGGTTGGAATAGCCAAGTCAGTGCAACGAAAATCCAACTGCGTGCGCGGGGTTGTTTGCCCGCAGGAGGCTGCGCAAACCTACCAAATATTTATACAGTGTTACAGAATACCTTCGTTCACGGTTTGAACAATCTCATCCAATTCTACGTTTCCGGCCTTCGATCAGGCGAGTGTGGAAGCGCCGCCAAGCAGCGCATCAAGAGTGCGGCCGCCAAATCGCGAACAGATCGGGTGAGAGGCCAAGACGTTCTCAGATATGCGCAACAAAGGTTTCGAAGAATTGAGCACTGAATTGAGCTTGGCCGCGCTGGGTTGAGAAAGGCGCGTGTGCGTTTAACGCAGTGGAAAGGCGTGCGGCCTGGCGATATGTTCACTGTATGGCTGCCCACTATCCTGATCAGCCGAGCCGGCAAGATCAGGCAGCACCGGGGAATATTGGTTTCCACGAAGGGTCGAATGATTGCTTTTTTGAACCTCATGAGTTCCGGTGAGGTGACGAATTTGGCGTGGGTTCGTGCGTTTCTTCGCCTGTATCCTTGCCATGTGTGTGCGCAGGAGTGACCAAATTTGTGAAATTAGGCGACGACAATGTGTTTGTTTGATTTGTTTCCGATTCTTGCCAGGAATTTGTCGATGTTTGTCGCGACTTGCCTCCACGCCAGAGCCCTTGGGGCGCAGAACGCCACACCTTCATCCACCGAGCGTGGCTGTTCAATGCGAGGTTTCGAAAGCAGAGACGATTATGTCATGTGGTGGTGCGAGGCTGGAGCACTCAGCTACACTTTGCATGCAAGCACATGTTTACAGCATGCTCCATGCTCAGGCCCACAATCGAGTGCGCTCTGACCTCGCTCAGCAACCAATCAGGCCGTGATGGGCAGTAGTGCTCAAGGGCATGATGGGCAAAACTGAGTGCAAAACTGTTTTTGTGAGGTGTGAACTTCAAGACCTTTTGGTGGCGGGGCGGGCCAATGGCCTAGAGCAAACACTTCAATGCCAGGGTGAACATGGACCCATGCGCAAAGGGCCACATATCCACTCAACTTAAGGCTGGGCAGACTTTGGCGGAGGCAGCTGAGTGCCATGCGACCAAAAAGGTTACAGTATCCATGTTGTGAAGATGTACATGTTTGTGGACGCTGTCCAGATGTACTACCATTGTCCAACACAGATTTTTCCACATGCTGTTGCAGAATTCGCCTGAGTTGGTGGACTTGTGAGTGGTTCATTCAATCCGTGGCCGCGTCCCCTTCAGTGGCTCAGCCAAAGAAGCTGCCACATCGAACCGAAAACAAAGACAATATGAGTGAGTAATGCATCCCGATTTTGTTCAGCGACACCATGCAGAACGCAACCTGGCTTAGCTGGATTAACTGTTGTGTTCACCTGTGAACGCAGTCAAAAGCCACGCCAACGGAAGGACAGTTGAATCCATGGCGCAGCTGCTGCTTTGGGCACTCCTGCTCCCAGCTTCAGCGCTGATAGATGTTCACCTGAAACCAGCCTCCAGGGAGATACCACCAGGATTGGCATTCATTTGAGAAATCATGTGCCATTGGAGAAGTCAGAAAGATTCAGAAAGATTGTCAGAATTGCGTTGCTACTATGAGCAAGGACGCTACTAGGGTCTCCTGGCCTTACTACTAGGAGCAAGGACGCCGTGAAATTCCTTTTTGTGATGTGTTCAGCAGGCCAGGTGGCCGTATGGGTGTGGCAAGGGCCTGGCGAGGTGCAGCTCAATGCCACCTGCTTGGACTGGAGGGTGCATGGTGTTTTGGGGCCTGAAGAGAACGCAACTGGCTCATGGATCAGCATGTTTGGCCTTTGTGTGTTGTTCCTGTCAACGTCCACGTTTTGATAGGCCTGGCTGCCTGAACATGCCTGAGCAGTTTAGGCCGTACTAATCTTGCTCCTGTAAGAGTTGCAGCTTCCAAGCGTGCCTCGTGAGAAAGCTGGTGGCTCCCAAATCCCTAGTCTCCTTTGGCAGGACGAAGCGAACCTCGATTTCTTTGTTGTCTCTGGAAATGGAGATGAGATGAAAAGAAGGGGTCCGCCAGCTTCATTAAAGGCAAGTTGAACATTTGAAGGGTGTGGAATGTTTTTGCGATGTTTTGCGCCCAGTCAGCATTTCAATCATGCCTGAGGGCTATTTATCTCACATTGTGAAAGTCAAGAGAATCCAAGCTTGATGGTTGGCTGTGCACTTGT